CCTCTCTCAATACGCGTTTTCTGCATTGCATAGATGTAAGAAACGCATAAAAATTAAATAATAATAATAATATTATTGATAACATAATACTGGCATTCGCCAGCAGTTTGCTTCAGCAACTTTCGAAAAAGGGAGCCGTAGTAAGCTTTACCAGTACCGGGGCTACATGGAAGCAGTCCGAAAGTCAGCAAATGCTAGCGCTCAAACTACCTCCGAGTGTCTCTCGGTCCCTCGCAGCAAGTGAATATAAAAGGATTTTAATTTGATTAACAATATGATAGCTGCGAAATGCTGCACTTGAAAATGTTGTGATATTGCTTTTTCCCGATTCAAATGCTCTTCTCAAAAACAAATTTTTCCACTTCCTTCCTTCCTTCCTTATCAGCTGCGAAATTGCTTTCTGTTTAGCTTAGGATTAGATTTTGCAAGGAAACGGATGGGTGTTTTCAATTTTTATAAAGTTCACTTTTGCGCTTTGCAGCCCCTCCTCTGCTTTTTCTGTGATTTTAATTATTGGAACATAAGGATATAAATCTTTCCGTAAAATTCATGAAATAGCTGTAGCTGAATAACCAAGGATGTTACCTGGTCAATGATAGTCATTGGCAGTGGAAGCATACTAATGAAGTCCACTACACTTAACACACAAACATAAGTGAGAGTAGTGTTTTGCCGAGCTCTGCAAATTGTCGTATGTTAGCAAAATTAGTTTCAGGATGCACCTTCACTCTCTGCATTTTTTAGTAAATGTTAAATCTGAATCAACATCATAGAATTTGCACAAAATGCGTGAGCTGAAATAGATTAAGCTGGATTTTCAGCACTGGTAAACAGCTTTCTAGTGTAATGAAAAATCTTATCGCCGTCAGTTGGGAATACCAATGATACACATGGGATTGTGCAGTTCATGCACTTTATGCACTGAACTTCCATTTTCTATTTTTCGGATTCAGTCAGCTTCCCATGGCCAATAAAACTACTTGCGCTGCTCTGGATCAGCTATCCAAATACTGCTTTCCGCAAAACTGCTTATCAAAGATAATTGCTGCCATACCAGTTACATGTTTCTGCAGCATTAAATGCTCACTAGGTACGTATACAACTTCAAAGACCAAGACATTCATGTCCGGCTGTTTGATTGTAATTTTATGCTATTTTCACTTATTTTTACTAAAAT